CACTCCTCGGAAGGAAGGTTAGGCAATCTACTTCTGTAGTGATACTGCCTCGGAAACTCAAGGAGGGGGTGCTATGAGTCAGGTCCGACTCGAAGGCAGTCAGTTTGGTTTGGTAGAAACAGGTAAATAAACATCTATACACACACTCTCACACACACAGAGCACTCTTAGGCACGAGTCTGTGTAAACATTTAGATACATTATACAGACATACACACAACATGCACACACTAATCCACCACAAAGCATGTGTAGCACCCTGGGACCTGTGTGTGTGTGTGTGTGTGTGTGTACTATTTCTATAAGGATCGCCAACAAGTGGTTAACACTGACGGCTTCTGGGAAGGAGACTATGGAAACAGGGACAGAGGCACATTTTCTTTTCATAATAGACCTTCTGTGCCTGTTGAATTTTGTGCCTTTTGCATGACTCATTCAGAAAGTGATTTTTACAAGTGAAGACAAAATGAAGTTATTCCAAACATAAATCACAACCCACAAAGCTAACGGAAGCCTAGTGAAGCGCTATGCACAGCCGCGTGTCGGGGACGCACGCCTGCCGTCACGATGCAAACAGAGGGTTGGAGAGAAGCGTCTTACGGCTGGAGATGCAGTAGGACAGCCTGCAGTTGATCTTCCGGAAGAGCTGCTTGTTGACCGGCCACAGGACCAGCGTGCAGAGCTGCAGCGCGTTGACGATGAGCCCCGAGGCGATGAACACGTAGCAGAAGACCAGGTGGCAGAGGAACTGAGACTTCAGCAAGCCAACGAGGTCCATGGCGCGGGGCTGCCCCGGTGGAAATCAAGAGATCAGCACAGCAGAGTGCGTCCGGGGAAAACGCCCAGCACTCGGACAGCGTCTGAAACACAAACCAGAGGCAGATGTCAGCACAGCCACCATGTGCTTTTGGAGTCAGGAGACAGAACCCTTTTGGAAGAAAAATAGCCACTCGAGATGAAACGCGTTGAACACGAGTTCATTTACTTTTATTTATCAAATATTTACGTAGTATTTACCGAATGTCGGGCAAACTTTAAACCCTCTGCACACAATAATCCCTTTATATTAACATACTGTGAGATCTGTACCATGACCCCATTTTACAGGTGAGGGACTCCAGGCCTCAGGGGTCAATTAAACACGTGCCCAATATCCAAGGAGCTCTGGTGGCACAATGGTTAAGAAAGTGCTTGGCTGTTAACCAAAAGGTTAGAGGTTCAAACCCACCAGTGTCTCTAAGGAGAAAGACCTGGTGATCTGTGCTGCAAAGACTACAGCTTAGAAAACGCTAAGGGGCAGCTCTGTTCTGTGACAAGGGATGGCTACGAGCCGATACTGATGCAAGAACCACCAATGTTCTCCCACTTCCACACCTAGTTA